AGGCCATCACAGGAGGACATACTCGAGGTAACCCTTCCAACCCTCCTAAACCCAGTAATCCCTATGCAAAGCCTGCTCCTTTTAAATGCTTTAAATGTAATGAGGTGGAGGAGGAAGTATACTGTGGACCTGATGGGGAAGATGAAGAGGGTCCATACAAACATGAAGAGTATACTTGTGTTGTGAGAAACTTAACGCTGTCCCAGAAAAATAAAGATATCTCTCAAAGGCACAGATTGTTCCGTACCAGATGTACTGCCAAGGGTAAATTATTTGATTTAATTATTGATAGTGGCAGTCAAGAAAATATTATTTGTAGGGATGTAATACAAAAGTTACAACTACTTCCTGAAAAACATCCAAGCCCATACACAATTGGGTGGATCAAGGAAAGAGGCGGCGTACGGGTGGAGGAACGCTGCAAGGTACCATTTTCTATTGGTAAATATAATGATGAAGTATATTGTGATATTGTAGATATGGATGCTTACCATATTTTGTTGGAGAGGCCTTGGCAATTTGATATAAATGCAAGTTACATGGGTAGGAAGAATACCTACCAACTTGAAAAAGAGGGTATACGCTACACTTTGTTACTCATGGCTGAAAAGAGTGTTCCTAAAACCCCAAAAGCAAATGAAAAAAATTTCCTTACTATATTACCCATCATCATGCTGAATTTGTAAAAGAATGTAAGGATACTTGCGAGGTACATTTGTTAGTAGTAAAGGGAGAAAATATGAATGAGACCCTAGAGGAAAATAAAATTCCAGTGGAAGTGTAGAGACTACTTAATGAATTCCATGATGTAGTTCCTGAAGAATTACCAAATGAACTCTCTCTCATGAGAGATATACAGCATCATATTGACTTTGTTCCAGGTGCTAGTCTACCTAACCTCCCACATTACAGGATGAGTCCTAAGGAGAATGAAATTTTACGGGAAAAGGTAGAAGAATTGTTGAAAAAGGGACACATTCAAGTCAGTATGAGTCCTTGTGCAGTACCAGCTTTGCTAACACCTAAGAAGGATGGCAGTTGGAGAATGTGTGTCGACAGCAGGGCTATTAACAAAATTACTATTGGATACAAATTCCTCATTCCTAGGCTGGACGACATGCTAGATCAACTTAATGGAGCTGTAGTTTTCTCAAAAATCGATCTCAGGAGTGGATACCATCAGATCAGGATCCGTCCCGGAGATGAATGGAAGACAACCTTCAAGACTAGAGATGGCCTGTTCGAATGGTTAGTCATGCCCTTTGGACTAACCAACACACCCAGCACATTCATGAGGCTGATGAACCAAGTATTGCATCCCTTTACTGGTAAATTTGTGGTGGTATATTTTGATGATATTTTAATTTACAGCAAATCTATCACTAAGCATATTGGACATATTAGGGAGGTCCTAAAAGCATTAAGGAAAAATAAATTATATGCTAATTTGAATAAATGCACTTTTATGAGTGATAATTTATTATTCTTGGGATTCATTGGGAGCAAGGAAGGAATTAAAGTAGATGAAAAAAAGGTGAAAGCCATTAGGGAGTGGCCAACCCCATCAAATGTCACAGATGTGAGACGCTTCCATGGGTTAGCAACTTTCTACAGGCGATTTATTAAACATTTTAGCAGCATTGTATCTCACATCACTAAATGTTTGAAAAAGGGAAAATTTCAATGGAGAGAAGAACAAGAGCAAAGTTTTGCTCTCATAAAAGAAAAGTTATGTACTGCTCCTGTCCTTGCTTTATCAGATTTTAATAAATTATTTGAAGTTGAATGTGACGCTAGTGGAGTTGGCATAGGGGTTGTATTGTCCCAAGAAAAGAGACACATTGCTTTCTTCAATGAAAAGTTATGTGAATCCAGGAGAAAGTAGTCCACTTATGACAAAGAGTTCTATGCTGTGGTAAGAGCCTTGAAAACATGGGAACACTATTTAATTGCAAAGGAATTTGTTCTTTATACTGACCACCGGGCCCTAAAGCATCTCAGTGGGCAGAAGCAATTAAGAAGTGATTTAGATGCAAGATGGTCTGCTTTCCTTGACAAATTCCCATACAAAATTATATATAAGGTCGGACAACAAAATAAAGTGGCCGATGCTCTTAGTAGGCATGTAGCCCTCATCAAGACCCTCAATATTGAGATTGTGGGTTTTGAATGCCTAAAAGACCTATACGCCCAGGATGAGGACTTCCAACAGGTATGGGAGAAATGTGTGAATCGACAGCCAGCAGATGATTTCTACATTTATGATGGGTTCCTTATGAAAGGGGAACAGTTGTGCATCCCTTGCACCTCCCTCCGCTAAAAGATCATCAGAGATCTGCATGGGGGTGGATTAGCAGGACACCTGGGAAGGGACAAGACAATTGAAGCACTTAAGGGGCGTTATTATTGGTCAAAATTAAGAAGAGATGTGGCCACTATTGTGAGTAGATGTTATATTTGTTAGACAGCTAAGGAACAAACCCAAAATACCGGTCTCTACATACCTCTCTCCGTTCCTACTATTATTTGGGAAGACTTGTCCATGGATTTTGTGTTAGGGTTGCCAAAAACCCAAAGAAATATGGACTCCGTCTTCGTAGTGGTTGACAGGTTCTCTAAGATGGCTCAATTCCTCCCATGCAAGAAAACAGCAGATGCATCAGCGACAGCCAAATTATTTTTCAGGGAGATTGTCCATTTACATGGGGTACCCAAGACTATCACATCAGACCGAGACACAAGGTTCTTAAGTCACTTCTGGATGACCCTATGGAGGTTATTTGACTCATAACTAAATTTCAGCAGCATAGCCCATCCGCAGACAGACGGACAAACAGAGGTGGTGAACCGGACCCTTGGTAACTTGATTTGCAGTATATGTCGAGAGAGACCGAAACAATGGGATTTCGCCATTGCACAGGCTGAGTTCACCTATAATAATGCAGTACACAGCTCCACAGGTAGATCTTCATTCTCCATTGTCTACATGAAGGTTCCAAATCATGCATTGGACTTAGTGAAGCTACCTAGAGTATCCGATGTCAGTACCTCCGCAGAACAGATGGTGGACCAGATCCAATCCGTCCAAGAAGCCGTGAAGCAGAGACTAGAACAAACCAATGCCAAGTACAAGTTGGCAGCAGACAAGCATCGTCGGCACCAAGTATTTGACGTCAGTGATGAAGTTATGGTATTCTTGAGGAAGGAAAGGATTTCAGTGGGAAAATACAACAAGTTGCAGCTTCGGAAGTACGGTCCATACAAGATCATGAGGAAAGTCAACGACAATGAATACGTCGTGGACTTACCAGATCATATGGGTATCTCTAAGATGTTCAATGTTGCTGACCTTCATCGCTACCTACCAGAGATGACACTTGCATATCCTAGTCACGACTCGGGGTCGAGTTTTTTCCAAATGGGGGAGAATGATGGAGGCCCATCTTCCATGGCTTCTCTACCCCTCATCATTGCTTTCATCTTCAACGTGCTACTTGGCTTTTGTTGCCTTCTCTATCCCTCACCATTTCTCATCCACCTTCCAGTGCTGTGGATTCCGGCGGAGCGATGATGGGTTGAACACGAGAGCAGCCAGTGGCCCAATGGCATCATAAATTCTGTATTCCAGTCTTTCAATGGGTAGTTATATATTTCAGTGTTTCATTTGATCACAATTCCGTTGTCGTCCAGCGGTTAGGATATCTGGCTTTCACCCAGGAGACCCGGGTTCAATTCCCGGCAACGGAATATGCAGTTTTACAAAAATAGGTCTTATTTTTCGTCATCTTAACGAAATCTTATAATAAAATTACCCTTATTATTAAGTGGATCGTGGCCCACCACTAAATGGGCCTCTTTTTATGTAGGCCATTTAGTGGGCCTGTTTCTTCTTTACAGGCCACTGATGGATCATATATGTCAAGAGTTTTTCCCACGGCTGCAAAACGGATGAAATATGTGGATAGATCCAAACTTGATTTATTTCCCATCAGGAGTCGAATTGGATCTTATCTATTGGATTTATATCAGCTTGGAATCGAATCTCGACTGTAAATGAACATTGAATAAATAGAATAAACAAATTAAACTAAAACCATCAAATTATAATACTATGTATTATATTTCAAGATCAAAATGAATTAAAATTACTTGAAACTAAAACCTATTACAATTTAATAAAAACATACCAAATTACCATTATAACCAACTCTACTAATACATGCAATACAAAATTTTACTAGAGTATATATGTTTTAATTGAAATATATCGGATTGGATAGGTGTGGTTCCATATTTGATCGCTTGGAATCACCCTTAATGGGATCAATATGAATTTAAATTTGGACAATTGGATACAATTTGCGGCCCTAGTTCATATCAGCAAGGTTCAAAGTATCAACACGTATAAGCCCGTATTGGCCGATATATATCGTTCCGGGAGCTCCCCAATACGCCTCTACAGAGAGTGTATCGGGGTTCTGACTGGTTCAGGGGGTAAAAGAACCTTAAACCGGCCCCCTAAAAACCGTTTTAAAAAAAATAAAAAAAAAAGTACCAATATTGCCCAAACCAGCGATATTTTAAACCAACATATCAGGCGTATCGATATTTTGAACCTTGCCTACCAGATCTTTGGATTATCTGAGACTCAGAGGTTGTATTGGGTTGTATATATCGTAAATTCCTAAAGCATATATCCGGTGAAACATAGTTTGCCCTATTGATTAAATCAATCTACACCATTCAATCAACCATTCACCTTTTTAGATGGAATGGACTTTTTTTTTTTAAATAATGCCCGAGTTGAACAATTACAATTCAATGCGGCATATACCAGACTGAAATCCAAAGCATCATGGAACCTGCTTGTGAGTTGTGAAATGCAAACAGCCAGTGTTTTCTCAAATGTGGATATCTTCCTAGCTCAACAAAAACTGCAAAACAAAGCAAACTTCTAATAAATACCTACTGCTATCGTAAAACACACTTCATATTCCACGGCCAGGCAAAGGACAAAGGAACCATATTAACATTCTCATCCATTCCCCAGTAGTATACAGGAAGTATTACAGGCAACACTCCAGGCATAAGTTCAACAAAGTTCAATTAAACTTCACAAATTTGTAGGCCCCACATCTTGAATTTTTTTTTTTTGGCTGCATATGCTGATGTTTCTATGTCATAAAATAACAACATAGCTTTGACAATATCAGAAAGCCAGGAGTGTAATAATAGAACTTTAGCTTTGAACGCAATTACAAAATTAAGTCCTGCAATTTTCTGGTACGACTTGGTTGAAACTCCTGTTACCCAGTCATCTTAAGGCAAAACAACTTGAACTTGAGATGAACCTGCAGAGAGATGTGGTAGGTAAGAAAATATGCGAGAAGAGGTTGCCATTGGCCTATTGCCAATCTTATGCAGGAAAAATAACAAATACTCTGGAAAGCTTGCCTGGGTGGTTTAGAAAGAAGAGGTGCCCACTGAAGTGGAGCGTCCACTGGCTTTTAATTCCTTGAGTGTTCCAGCTAACCAGTCCAAACCCTCGTAAAGGCCATCTCCTCTGAGAGCACAAGTTCCCTGGATATGCCATCTTCTGTTCTTGATATCATAGAGTCCCAACCCTTCGCACACCTCCATAGGGGTCATTGCTCCTTTCTTAACAGGAAGAGAAAAATGAAATTATGCACACTTTAACACTGGAAACCTTCACCAAAGTCACAATTTTATGTGTTCATATACCATGTTCATTGTGCACCATTTTGTTAATTCATGTAAATCAACAAGCTATGCATGGCTTAAGGACAGATCCTCTCCTCAATACCCTATAAATATAAACGTTAACTTATGCTTTTGCCTTCTTTTTTTCTTTCATTCTTTCTTGCATAACATAGATTAGCATCTACCAGCACCACTAGGAGTGCAAGTTTGGGTTGCCAGATGCAAAGAATTTCAACTCCGGCTTGAGGCCATTTAAAATTTAACAATTTCTCAACCCAACTCAAGTTGCACTCCTAATCACTAGAACACCGTAATATTAATTGGTCTAATGGCCAAGGTTGGGGTACCATGCCAAAATTTGAAACTTGAAATGGCATTTGGTGACATTCTGATGATACCGATAAAGGTTTATAAAATGAATTATTGATGGCATTCCATTTCCAAGCAAGCATCAACAAAAACAGTAGCATTTAACATTCTGCCATATGGTGTGCTTAGAAATCTGATAAGGTATCAAAGTTCGCAACTTACAAATTATTTTTAAGTATATTTTCTACTATTTTTTTGCATTTATTTATTTATTTTTGGGAGGAAAGGTGGGATGAGGAAAAGAGAATTCACTTGGTCAGTTGGGACCAAGTATGTTCCCCAAAGAATTTCAACTCTGGCTTGAGGCCATTTAAAATTTAACAATTTCTCAACCCAACTCAAGTTGCACTCCTAATCACTAGAACACCTTAATATTAATTGGTCTAATGGCCAAGGTTGGGGTACCATGCCAAAATTTGAAACTTGAAATGGCATTTGGTAACATTCTGATGATACCGATAAAGGTTTATAAAATGAATTATTGATGACATTCCATTTCCAAGCAAGCATCAACAAAAACAGTAGCATTTGACATTCTGCCATATGGTGTGCTTAGAAATCTGATAAGGTATCAAAGTTCGTAACTTACAAATTATTTTTAAGTATATTTTCTACTATTTTCTTGCATTTATTTATTTACTTTTTGGAGGAAAGGTGGGATGAGGAAAAGAGAATTCACTTGGTCAGTTGGGACCAAGTATGTTCCCCAAAAGAAAAAGGAGGTTTGGGGATCAGAAAGCTGAAAAGTTAACAAAACTCTTCTAGGTATTTGGATCTGGAGATTTGGAAAAGAGAAGGAAAGCTGGTGGAGGAAACTGGTAGCAGCTAAATATGACACTGATAGAGGGACTGGGTAACCAGTTCTAATGTCACTTCCTTGGGGTGCTCTCTTTGGAAGAAGATCATGGACATTTATCCCTTGCTGAGTAGAGGTCTGGCTCTGACGTTGGGAAATGGGCAGCGTTTAAGCTTTTGGAAGGACAAGTGATGTACTGAAAGGCCATTGGCAGAGATGTTCCCCCAATTGTTTCTTCTTGCAGACAATCAGGAAGCATTGGTGGCAGAGTGCTATGAAGTCTCAAATAATATCATCATTTGGAGCCCCATGTTCGGAAGAAATTTTCAGGATTGGGAAATCAATCAAGTGAGGGAACTGGAGTGTAGATGGAATATTTTCAGTGAGGTCCTTTGCCAGAAACTTGTTAGAAGGAGACAGACCTGAACTTCCTGTAGCTATTATCTTGAATTCGAAAGCCCCCACCAAAGTAAATGCTTTAGTTTGGGCGGCTGTCTTGGATAATAGATGCCTGACCAAGAAGAATCTGGTGAGAAGAGGAATGCAGATTCAAGAGTTACATTGTGTGTTATGTGGTCAACAGGAAGAGGAAAATAATCATTTGTTTTTACACTGTTCTGTTTCTATTTCTTTATGGAGACATTTCTTATCTTCTGTGGGTTTATCCTGGGCCATGCCAAGTACAGTGTTGGATCTGCTATGGTGTTGGGATCTCAAAGCCCTATCCAAGTTGGCTAAAAGTGTATGGAGAACTATTCCTGCAGCTGTGATCAGCACCATCTGCAGCCAGTCAGTGGGACTTCTTGAAAGTTTGTTTATAATTCATTCTTTTCTCTTAAGGGATAAGGTTATCTTTTAATTACCAAAAAAAAGTAGAATTTTCAACCTCATAGGTTAAATATGTAGTTTTTACAAACCCATGGGTTACACAGAATTTTCATTTTGGTAAAGACCAAAAAGAATGTCATCTACTCATCTCCATGCTTTGGTTACTTAGAGACCACTTCAACTACAAGGAGGTAAATGCCATCTCTTCACTTCCAATGGGACATGATCCTTGTCTACTTACTCTAGGAGTTCTAAGGCTTATAATATTGAACTGTTTGTCTTTGTCACATTTGAATGTTCAAGAAGACCTTTGATGAGCTATCTGGCTGCACTGGTTTCAAAAATCCAGAAAAAGCACCAACATTCTAGACGTTTGTCTGTCTAGGGCAGAAAGCAAGCGCATGCAACCACTTGGGGAGGGGTGGGGGAAGGAAATAACTGAAACAGAAGTCAATGGAGACTGAAGTTCAAACAATTGGATAGCACAGACAGCTCTAAACCTGAGGAGAAATATATAGTCTATAAGGCAGTGAATGACATGCATGAGCTGCATTTAGCATGCAAGTTGTGTTTAAGGACATAGCTATGCATGATTGTTGTTTATCTGAATGTGCATGCACAAGTGTACTTTGTTGTCTGTGTGATTGAAAAGCAATTGATTTTAAAAATGAAAAAAAAAAAAAAAAAAAAAAAACAAGCAATTATCTGAACAGACCATGTCCTGTTTATTTGCGAAAACCAAGATGACGCTGTTCAACATGAAGGGATCACTGATGATAGCCTGAAATAAAATAAATAGGCCAAGTAAGAAACTATGGTCAGAGTCAGAAAAACCAAAATTAGAATAATAATGAAGAAAATAGAACCTGAAACTCTAACTTTGCTTTTCCAATTCTTTCCCTGTCCAATGAATCAACAACATAGATCTGCAATGCAGAATATATCAATAAAGTATAAACCCAAGTCACCAACCAACCCCGCCCCCCCCCAAAAAAAAAAAAAATCAAGAGAGAAAAGCATAAAAAACTACTTTGCATACACAAAGTGAGCAAGACAAAATGTTATTACAATTATTAGCTTTTTGCAAACAATATATACAATTACAGCTTCAGTTTGAGACAAAAGAGAATTAGCAGCTATCACAGAAGCACAGATACATTAAGAGAAGCTACCAAGATATTAAAACCAGTAGCATTAACTGAAACAACCAGCAAGAATCCCCATTGCGATATATAAGATTGTTAATCATTACCAGTCCATCTGTGTTATTAAAGTAATGCCTCCATAGTGGCCTAAGTTTCTCCTGTCCACCTACGTCCCACACTGTGAAAATCACATTCTTATACTGAACTTTCTCTACATTGAAACCTGCATAAAACCAGAAAAAATAATAACACAATCAATATTATGCTTTAAATGATGATGATTCTGCCGCAAAATAAAACTATCTAGCATCAATAATACTTGAAAACCCAACCTAGGGGAAATAATTTACGAGATAACTGAAAATGTTCCCTTTTACCCTAGAGGGTAAAAAGAACTCTTTTTTCAAAGTCCCAAGTCAGCCTCCTAGTCCTGTTGGCCCTCCCTTCCCGGTTAAGGAGGTTTGGTGCAGACCTATTCCCTCTAGAGTTGGTAGTTTTTGTTGGGAAGCCTATCTGGAAAGAATCAACACTGGTGATCTGCTCCAAAAGAAAAGACCCAAGACTTATTTATCCACTTACTGATGTGTTCTTTGTAAAGCGGAGGGGGAGACTGGTTTTCACCTATTGGTGACTTGCCGGCTTGCTAAGTCCATTTGGGGGTGGGCTCTTTCCCTTTTTGGGTGTAGCTGGAATCCTCCTTCAAATTTGCAAAGCCTCTTCTCCCCTTCTTTCTTCAGGTGCCGTTGGAAAAGGGGAAGGACCATGTGGAGATGTTTGAGAGCTGCAGTTCGTTGGGCCCTATGAGAGGAAAGGAATTCCAGAATCTTTTCTGAGGTAGAAAAAAGTATTTAAGAACTGAGAGATTTGATTCACATAAGGGTTACTCAGTGGATGAAATCGCCTGAGCTGTTTACAGTCCAAAGCAATCTTGTGTGTGTCCTGGACTCCCCCACCAGCTGGCTTCTTAAAACTGAACTTCGATGGAAGCAGTAGGAGGAATCCTGGACAATCGGGGATTGGAGGTGTGTTAATAGGCTTGTCACTGCCATGTTCTCCGGCCCAATTGGGGTGGGTGACTCTCTCAGGGCTGAAATACTTGCAGTTTTGGAAAGAGTTCAAAGAGCCAAGGAAATGAATATAAGAAAACTCTTCATTGAAGGGGATTCAGAGGTGGTGGTAGGGTGGCTGAATAAAGAAAATAGCAGTCTATGGATGAAGTAATGAGACGAGAAAGATTAGGTGGCTGGTTCAGGAGATGGAAGTTAAGGTCAGCTAACTCCTTTGCGGATGGATTAGCTAAGCAAGGAGTCGTGAGGGAATCAATGTTTTGGGCACAAGTGTAATTTTTCCTTTTTGTTCTTAGGAGTGTTTTGCTCCCTTTGGAAGATAAGAAAGTTTATCTTCCTCTCTGTAGTTCTTTTGTGATTAAGTAATGAAATGTTGTTATTGATAAAAAAAAATAACTCTTTAGTTCTTTAAAGAGTATGCAGCAAATATTCTTTAAAGAGCCTGATCAATCAATAACTACATTAAGTATGCAGCAAGTATTCTTACAAAAATGTTACCCTTTTATTCAAGAGGGAAACTCCACCAGTATCATTCATCCCTCCCCAGGACATATAGTCCGCCAAGGATATATCAAAAAATTCCACTGTGGATGCCCAAAATAAAAATTTTCAGCACCCAACCCAACAAAGTGCAGAAAATGGAGTAGCTGATGCTAGGAAAGGAGCTAATAGGGAGCAACTGTATGTTGGGTTGATAACTTAGTTCACTGCAATTAACAGAAAAGGGATTAGGTAGCTGTGGCTAGCCTAACAGCTAGATATGCATTCATCTGTAAATACATTTCTTTTCTCATAACCAATAAAATTTTTCACTGTTATAAAAAAAAACAAAGTTAGGCCAGCCCCTCCTACCTTTCCCGAATTTAGATACGCTATTGACTCTCATGGGGGATGACCTCCCAGAACAGAACTCTTTGGTTAACCCCCTTCTTAGCTAATGCCTCAGCTAAGCTATTGGCTGACCTCTGAATCCAAATGAAAGTTGCCTGCAATTCCCTAACCAACTCTAAAGTTTCTCTATGTGTCTGTTTCCCAAGAAGTATTTTTGTTGTTTTTGAGCCAGTGTATAACTACCCTTGAATCCCTTCCACCAATGAATCCTATAACCAAGAATTTTTTTCCAAGCTCAACCCCTGAAAAACAGTGAACTATTTGCCCTTGTAGAATTCCTATAACCTATAGGCCCATAAAACATGGAAATAATGGTAAAGTATTGAATTGCATTGTAATATGAAACATGGAAATAATATTTCCTTGAATTTTTTTTTTGAAACAGGAAATAATATTTCCTTGAATGTTCCTATAGACTCAACTCCACTTTTGCCTTACAGTCCTACGCAGTGTTTTAAAAGGCGTGGGAGGCGTACACCTGGAGGCGCACCTCCAGGTGAGGCGCCCCCAAAATGCCCTAAGGCATATGCCAGGGGCGCTGACACCTCCAAGGCGTACGCCTTAGGTGCAAGAGGTGTATGCCTCGTACGTTTTTTTCATGAGGCGTGCTATAGGTGTACGCCTCATACATTTTTTTCATGAGGCATGCGTATGCCTCATGCGCCTCATGCACACCTCATGTAAAAAGACAGAAAAAATAAGAAAAAAGAAAAGGAAATGAAAGAAAAAGAAAGGGAAGGGGGAGAAAAAGAATGAAAGAAGAAAAAAAAAAAGAGAAAAAGAAAGAAAAGAAAAGGGAAGGGAAGATAAGGGGAAAGAAAGACCCCCCCCCCCTTCAAGTAGTGCTATGCATCTTCATTTTTCTTAATATAAAATATTTTTATTAAAAATAAAGAAAAATGAGATTTTTCTTTCTCTTCTTCCTCCTCCCTCCTCCTCATTGTATTTGGGAGGCTTACGCCTCTTACATTGCCCAAACAACAATCATCAAAATTTAATTTAATGAAGTGCTGGTGAGATAACAGAAATTCAATTATAGTACTTACGATGCTGATTTTTTCTTGTCTGCATGGCAGTAGTCCACTAAAATCACTCCTAATAAAGTGTTGATCCACCTCAATAAAGTGTTGCCAGCATCATATCTTATGAAGAGACAGTCTTCCTGAACAATATCTTCTGAAGAGAATGGGTGAAATATCTTCATGGACTTTACCTAATATACCAATTTCACCAAAATGTTTTCTATCAAAAATTCTCTTGCAAGGGTTTCTCTATTGGAAATTCTAGGGGTCAACAATTTCATCTAAAAGGATTTCCTTCAGTTTCTTGTTTTATTATATATACTTGAAATCAGTGGTAGAGCCAGGAACTTTCTTTTGGGGGGCTAAGTTATATAGATATTTTTTTGGTTTATGGTAATAAAAAAATTATGTTAAGTATATCTATTGGTCATAGGCTTTGTGGCAAGTCCCAAATCCTGTATACATTCTCAATGTAATTGACTTAATTTTTCCTATGGTCTGATTTCTTGGCAAAAACAAGAAAATGAGATAGAGAATAGATAGGGCTTGGAGAGAAATAGTGTAGGAGGTTTTGGGTCTATTATGGGTTTTTATGAAAGAAAAATAAAACAATGTCTTTTTTTATAATTTTGGGAGTTAAGTGGAGGGGCATTAGAGAGCACTCCTTAACATTTTAATGGGACCTTTTGTTTTGTTTTGTTATTTATTTATTTATTTATTATTTTTTTTTGGGGGGGAGGGGGGTAGCTAGGACCCACTTTATTAATGTGTTACTACACAAAGGTCTGGTTTTAACAAAATGTTTGGGGGGGCCAAGGACCCCCCAACTTTATACTTGGCTCCGCCCTTGCTTGAAATATTGCTGTAACAGTCCTAGGTTTAGATTGAAATCTGTTCAAGAAAAGAAAAGAGAAAAGAAGAAGAACAGAGGAGAAGAAGAAGAAAAGAAGGAGAAGAGAAGAAGGAATGAGACGAAGAGAGAGTAGAATGAATAGGTTCTGTTGCCCCCTTGGCTTTTATATTACTTAAGAAAAAGGTAATACAATGACAAAAATACCCCTGTCAACTGTGATAGAGAGAAAAACAAGAACAACAGCCTGAAACAATTACAAATAAAGATGGAGAGCATATATCTGCATATAAAAACATATAAAAACAATTAAGTATCCCTGTCTACATCTCTACACTGCCCCTCAAGTTGGGAATAAATATTGAGCATCCCCAACTTGCGTAAATCTGTTTCCATCCTGACTTTAGTGACTGTCTTGGTGAAGAAATCAGCAAGCTGCATATCAGAGGCAATATATGGCAAGCACACTCCTTGGGAGGCAACTCTCTCCCTAATAAAGTGTTGATCTACCTCAACGGGTTTTGTCCTATCATGTTGTATTGGGTTATGGGCAATATTAATAGCAGATTGATTGTCAAAATACAACATTAAGGGCTTCTCATGCTCAATTCCAAGTTCTTCAAGTAAAGATCACAACCATAGATATCTGTATTCTGCTTCAGCACTTGAACAAGCAACTACATTTTGTTTCTTACTTCGTCATGAAACTAAATTTCCTCCAACAAAGGCACAGTACCCAGAGGTAGACTTCCTATCATCTACACATCTAGCCCAATCCGCATTAGTGTGCACCTCAATCTTTATATGGCCATTATTCTTGAAGAGTATTCTGCAACCTAGACACATCTTGAGATATGCTAGGATCCTCTCAATAGCCAACAAATGAGTGGTTCTTGGAGAATGCATGTACTGACTAACAACACTGACAGCATAAGAAATGTCAGGCCAAGTCAGAGAGATAAAGGAGTTTCCCAACCAGTCGTTGATACATGGTCTTTTCATCAAGGAGTTCACCTTCTTCTACACTTATCTTATGATTCAATTCAATGGGAGTATCTGTAGGTTTAACCCCCAATTTTCCCGTTTCCTCCAAAAGGACAAGGACATATTTCCTCTGAGAAATGAAAATACCATGCTTAGATCTAGCCACCTCAATTCCCAGAAAATATTAGAGATGACCAAAATCTTTCACCTCAAACTCTTTGTGAAGTAATTGTTTTAGGGAATTAATCTCATCAACATCATTGCCTGTTACCACAATATCATCCACATATACATCAAGGAGTGCCAAGGAGGAACCACCCCTGTTGATGAAAAATGTGTGGTCTGAGTGAACCTACATATACCCAAATTTCTCTAAATCATGTCTAAACCTACCAAACCAAGCCCTTGG